TATATCTGTAATTACTTTGATATGTATAAATATTTCTAAATATACACAAAAAGTTAACAAGAGCAGCTGCTCTAGGAAGAAGAACTTGTTGGCCAGGAATGAGACTTTCACCCTTTTATATTTTTTTATGAAACATGTGAATGTTCAGGCCTAATGTTACAAAAATATTTATACTGTAAATATTTTTTAAAATTAAGATCATTGGAACTCTCCCAGTTTAATAATGTTATGTAAATAGAAATCAGGCTTAAAACATTATATACACAGTATGAACCCGATTTTTTATAAACTTATATACAGGTAAAGAAATTGAAGAAAACATTTCTTCTATTGTTTGAACCTTTCTGTATTTTCCAAACTTTCTACTGAAAGCATATTCTTCCTTTACAATCAGATAAGCACTACATAGCTTATTTTCAACTATATATATATATATATATATCTTATTTGTATATTCAATTCAAATTGGTTGTTGAAAAAGACACACACACTTTTAAACAAAACTTAAAACTAGTTATTCTCTATACTTGAAATAACTTCTACCCATCAACATCTAACTTTCTGTTTAACTCTTCACCTTTCACCTTTTCCATGAAATATTTTATAATTGCTCAGTTCTACAAAAAACCTATTTCATGGCCTCTATGCATATAATCTTGCTCCTGACTTGTACTGTTTATTTTGCATCATTTACATAAAAGTCTTATATCCCAACCAGAGTGTTAAGTTGGAATCTATTTCCCCATTCCTTGAATTTGGGTCAGCCTTGTAACTAGCTGTAGCCAAAAGCATAGATGATTTGCTAGTTCCAAGTGGAGGCTTCAAGGCACATGTCCTCCTGCTCTGTTGGAACCCTGTCAAGATGCCAGGTAAATAAGCCTGGTCTGGCTGCCCCTGGGTGAGAGATCACATGGAGCAGAGAAGAGGTGGCCTAGACCAGGCAGCCCCTAGTTCATCTAGCAAATTGACCCCAAAACCTGAGTCAGCTCAGCTGAACCTACTGCAAACTGCCAATCTGTAGAAACTTAAGCTACATAAATGGGTCTTATTTTAAGCTAATACATTGTGGAGTGATGTGTTTTTTTAGCAAAAGCTGCAAAAATAATTGAAACATACCTAATGGCTTCATTCTGTGAATGTCATAGAGTGTGTCTTATGTTAGAGTCAAGTATTTGCTGACAACCTCTTTGCTCCTGGAGAGCAGAGACTGTATCCTCTTTGGTTGTGTATTTCTACATACCTAGCTTGTGCTTTGTTCATTGTAGCCACTCAGAATTTGATTAATTGAAATAAAAATTAACTGAACCTCAAGCTCTGGTGTTCATCAGCATTATCTATTGAATGTTTAACAAAAAAAATACACACCAAAGCACTGTTAAAAAGTCAAGTAACTCCTGAGAATTTACTATTGGTCTTGTATTGCAATTCCCCATTATTTTAGGCCAGCAAGTACTAGTACTTGGAGTGTACATGTCACTTCAAGGTAGTTCATAAGTGAACCCTTAGGGTGTCCTTCTCAATATTTACTATTAACCCAAATTTGGATTTTGATAGAAATATGTATGTAGGTTTAGTACATGAATGTGAAGTTGTAGTGCAATACTACTTTTATAAATTTGGAAATATATAAAGTATAAAGTGGCAAAAAAGGAGATTTTGATGTTTATTGTCTAATTCACGTTGTTATTATTAACAGCAGGTATTCTAACCCCAGAAATCTGACAAATGAGATATGTATGTAAATTTATTATAACTTTCAAGTGTTCTGCATATAAAATATCATGAAAGCTTGTACATTCAAAATGTCACATCACTTTTTTCCTTAAGAAGTGGGAAAATCAGAATAGACAGGACGAAAGAGAAAGGATGAGTAGTTTTGCTATCCACATCTAATTTGCTCCCTAATGAAATTCTATAGCTTTTAAATGACACCCTGCTATTACAGTCTATAAAGAGATGATTTCATCATACATTCCATGTTTTGAATATTTAAAAAATTATCATCCAGTTGATAGTATCTGAAACACTCTAAAGCAAAAGAACATGAAAGTATGCTCAGGATGAATATACTCATAAACCAGGGAGGTAAACATACTCGATGGCAGTGAAAGAACATCTTTGCTTCACTAAACTGGGAACAAATCCCCTTTTTGCTTGAGTGTGCAACCCATAACTTATCTTAACTTTAACTTTTTCCTTTTGACATCTGCCATTCCTGTTTATTGTCATCTTTGACTTATAAAGGACATAAAATTTAGTTAATGAAGTGGATAACTAAATCAGAACATAAAAGATTTAGATAGTCTAAATATATAAAATTGATAAAAAAAACCTGTGTTGTTAATATGCTTAAAAGAAAAACATAGTCCAAAGAGAGTAAAGTCTCCAATTTTGGTCCATAAGGACTAGATGAGAAATAGGTGACAATGCTACATTTGAAAAAGACTCAATTATCACAAGACAGGAAGCTTGACAAATCAGGATAAAAAACCCATCCCCCCAAATTGGGGTGCATTAATAAAAACGTAAAGAGTCCAAGTTAACTGAGACAGTTTTTAGCCAACTTACGAAATACCTTTCTAATAGTCAGATGATCCTAAGGTGGACAGACCTTGCTGCTTTGAACCAATGAGTTGTCTTCAAGGAACAAATTAAACACAGTCTAGGGTGCTGTACAGGGATTCACGTATCAAGCCAAAGGTTATACTGCAGGATTTTTAAGACTAGTCTCCAGCCTCCGAATTCTTTAACTCTATTTTAGGATTCTGAAGAGCACATGCAAAAGACACATTTTCAAGAATGCTTAATCATGCCTCATTTGAAGTCAAGGTACTTCCTTTGGAAACATACTCCCAGGCTTTCTATTTATAGTTTGAACATCTCCACAGTTCAAAAAAAAAAAAAAAAAGAATAAGTCTTCTTTTAAAAAGATGCTCACTTGCAATAAATTATGAGAATGACTAAGATAACTGCAAAGAGATCAACATTTTCGGGACAGGATGTGGATAATTTTCCTCATAGTAATTCAACCTACCCGAGTCCTCTCAATAATGAGCTACAGCTAGAGAACTAGTCAAGTTTTTCAAATGACCTGTTAAAAAATTTAAGCTGCATTAACAGAGATGGATGTTAATAGAAATAGGTGACAGATTTAACAGGAAGAGACATACTCTTTCATTATTAGCAAAATTTTAAGTTTCGGGTTCTACCATTAAAACATTATAAAAGGACCAGGAGAACAGCAATGTGACAGAACACAGGAACGGAAGCATACACAACAGGGCTGAGAGCTCACGAGCACTGGGGCATGCGTCCCTGGCTCAGGTTCACCTTACTTTGGCTGTGCTTTCTAACTTATTCCCCTAGTTAACATTTTCTGTGAACACCAGTTGCTTTCCATAGGGACCCAAACCACAAACTAGACAGAATAACCACACTGCCTTCTCATGAACAGTGAGAAAGGAGAATTTTTTTCTCAGATGTGTTTCTCCAATGAAATTCAGTTTCTGCTTTCCAAGAAAGCCAATTGGCTCAGAAGTTTCTGAGAAGAAAAAGGGGGAAAAGTCCAACAGATCTACTCCACAAAACCCTAAAGCAAAATTCCAATCTTGCAGTCTTACATCAGCCAAGGAGTTAAAACATAAATGTCTCAGTTGAGCTGCTGAATACACAGGTGGAAGCCCTTAAATGTAGAGAGATACTGCACTCCATTCATAACCATGCTGAGAAAGCCTTTATGTGTAAGAGAACCCCCACCTCGGCCCCCAAATATTAAGTTGACACACGTTTCTGGGACGCGGCCGGAATCCTCAAACTTTGGCGGATCTATAGAGAAACAATATTCTGTTTTCTGCTTAACAGGGCTTTCCAGAATTGTCATCAGATGACAGATTACACCACCCATCACATGGATTCAGGGGTAGCTCAAGCCATCCATTATGGGTTAAAAGCTGTTCCAGCATGAATCGAGTCACAGTGGTAAGGAGACTACCGATACAGCTTTAAGAAATACCCTGGGCATCTAAAAGTTTTCAGAATGCAAACTATGTCAGCTCTGAAAACAAGAGGCACTGAATCATTATGGCAGGAGAAACAAAGCCAGCCCCCCTTTTTAAAACAGACCAAAAAAAAGATTGTTTTAATAGGAGAGAAGCATCAGTCATTGATTCTTACTTCATTCACACTTTCTATCCAACCCCATCCATCTTCAGAGTGAAGAGATGACAGAGCCCAGTTAACTCTCTCCCTCCTTAGGCCCCTGCCCATCCTGTCCTCTGTACCCAAACCACCAAGGCCCACCCACCATTCCAACCCACAGGCAACAGCCGTATGGAACAACTCGTTCTATCTGATGGGCTGGCAAAGCTCAGGTATGCCTCGGGATGGGCTTTCATCACATTACTTTAACAGGGTTGCCTGTCAGGGTAGCATGGGTGGTCAGGGCCTTTGCTAATTCTTCTAAAATGACCACTTAGTCACTCATGGCTGACCACATTCCACGAAAGAGGAGATGGGAAGATTTCAGGCAACAGAAACAAGTCAACAAGACAAACCAACAATCCAGAATGTAAAACATTTCATTTTCCTTAAATGCTGCTGCCCTCATTATCTGCAAACAAAAGTTCTCTAGGCGGGCAGTCTCTGCATCAGTGCACCTGCTTAGCATTGGTTTGCCGAGTTATCTTTTCGCTGTGTCTGCAGAAGCCAACTATAGCACAATGGGTCACATCACTTGAGGGTCACTTGAGTCCCTCTACTCTTTGGGTCCCTCCTCCCACCTCCTGCCTTCCCTTCTACCCACAAAACCTTTAACTCCACCATAGCTAAGGATCCCAGATAGCTAAATAAAAGAGGTGGCCTCAAGCACAGAGAAAAACCCTTAGGTCTCCAGTGTGAATCGCCAACGCCAATCCCCCTTCCCTCCCCTTTTCCTTAAGACCTGATGGTCTTCAGTCACACATCTTAAAAGAAAAACAAAAAACAAAAACACAAAGACTTACTTGTCTCAAGTCGATGAAGGCCAACTGCAGCGTGTCCTCCTGGAACCCAGGCACCGGGCCGGATCTGGCAAACTCTGTGGGAAAGAAAAGAGGATAAAAAGCGCCTTTAACTAACCATGGACAGGGAGATTGGCAGACGGATGACAGGGAAGACAAGAGAGGCTGGGGGAGAGGAGGACCAAGCTTCTAAGGAGTCATGTCTCTCTCCCTTCAGCTTCTTTGTTTGCCCTTCAAAATTTGTGTCATCAAAACACCATTAATTCCAGCATCCTGACAGCAAGGAAACTGTACTAATTCGACCTGAAATTTATTCCCATGAGCCGCGCTGGGCTTCAGAGTATTTGTTTTGTGAATGGACAAACAACTTGCAAAGGAGGAGGGAGTGGGGGAGAGAAAAAAGTTTTTCCTCTCAACACAATAAAATCTTCAGCTGTGAAACTCTTTTCAGTTCCGAAAGCTATTTATATTTTAGATCGCTGAAGGAATTTTCCAATTTCACGCCTGTCACCTCATTCCCCAAGCATTTGTCAAAAAATATTCCCTGCCACATCATTAATTATTCCCTCACTGATTATTTGTATTATCTCATGAGTGCATTATTGCTCACACACACACACTTGCACACACCAGCAACAGAGGCTCCCGATACAGGCAGGGTTTGACTCTGGAGCAAAGGAACAGTTGCTCATATGAAAAGGCCCATCTAAATAAATCCTTTTTCAAAAACTTAGGAACATTTGCACAGGTCTGCCTTTCTAGTATATTTTTTCTTGTTGACTTCTATTCCACTTTCAAAACTTCTTTTTCTCTTCCCTCTTCTCCAATTTAGTCTTAGGTCAAAGAGACCAGATCCCGTGAATGCTATTCACAATGTATGGCAGTGCCCTGGGGACATGCTCAGTTTATGACTCTGGCTTCTGCATCGTTACAGGAAGATAACTGCACAGGGCTATAGGGACAAATGCTAGTAACAGTTAAGAATGTCAAATTTTATTGTCCCTAAGCCCACTTTTTATGAAATCAAAAGGTCCAGTGTAAGCCCCACACACAGGCGCATGCGTGCAAATTCACGCACAGCTAATTCAAAGGTGGACAGTTCCTATGTCTTGAATTCTCTCTATGAATCCAAAGTGCGATGGACATTTAACACCAATCTACCACTTACCTCAAAAATTCAAGGATCTGCTAAAAAAAATATGAAAAGGAATGTTTTCCTTTCAATTATATTTTTCCCCAGGAATGAATTTAAGAAATTATAAAGTTGGTCTCATATTTTTTTGAAATTAAATAAAATCCATCAAGATATTTGCATATTTGTCTGAAAAATTAGTTCAAACAACTAGTAGCTGGATAGATTCAAATGATTGGTGAACAATGATAAGAATTTACGTTCTTTAAAAATATTTCCCATCTAGGGGTTTCACAGACATAACAAGTTTTCACAAAATCCTTGCCTTACTTCAAAAGTAATGCTAAGAAGTTTAGTTGCAGGGGTTATGAAAACAATGTGTAAAATAAAATTTACAACAATTTACTAAACTGATTAAAATATAATACAAACGTCGTAAAAGAATCTTATTTTAGACATTTCAAATAAAAATGACTCATAAATGGAGACAAACTATATATTGTGATCAGCATAACTAAGTTTCTACTTGCTTTTAAAAGAAAATTCCAATGCTATTTAAAAATTAATTCTACCATATAGATAGGCCAAATGATTAAAGTTTTAAAGAACTAAAATTCTAAAACTGTACAAAGAATTGGCAAGGACTCTATTAGTAGAAAGCCTGACATTATCCACCCTTCATATTTTATAATAGCCATTATCTACGATAACCTTGCATATGGCAGCTGTGCAAGTCACATGTACAAATTTCCCATTACATGCTCCTATAGAAAGCAGTTCTTTGAATTACAGCCGCGGCCACTCTGACAGCCTTTGACTGTCAGGTGGTCTGCTTAAATAAGCTTCCCACACAACGTGGTCTCATCCACGGTCAGGAAATCACCACTGCTCCCCCTGCATGACTCGAGGCTCTGCAGCATTATTTGAAGCATTGCAGTCCTCTCTGTCAGCAGGAAGCCTACTTGAGTCAAATGCAGCAACTAGCAAGGTGCTCTACTGCCTACAATGTGAAGCTCCAAAGAATTACCTATGATACGTGCTTTGAGAGCTAGCTTAAACATTCTTGAATCTCCTTATTGGCCATGCTCCCTGGGGCTCACAGATGATGCTGATGAAACCACTCAGGATTCTGGATGTGATACATCCTGAGTTCTCAGAGTCTTACTTTATAGACCTCGTTTTTATGACACACTGAATCTTCTAGCTTCCCAGAAGACACAGTGGCCTTTTAGATTTGACTCTCCTTTTATAAATCATAGAGTCAAAGAGTGACAACTGCATCAAGGTGTGACAATGTAAAGCAATTGACTGTCATGTATAGCCTATGGAAATATCTAATTACAATGTATTCAACTTCATATTGTTATTTTTCTCATTGTCTGATGCTCATGACTGCTGTAATCCCATGCAGACAGTGAACTAACTCCTCAAGGGTAAGGGCCATATCACAGAACCTAACAAGTATTCAAAATAGTAAATGTTCAACAAATACTTACATATTAAATAAGTTAGAAAAATAGCAACATTCATTAATCACACAAACACCTCACTGCCAATAAAATCCTTAGATTGAAACAGGTAAGGTATCCTTAACATAAGTATTGATAAGCAGGCTTTAGGAATTTATAATTTCCCTAAAATTAGGTGCACAGTGATTAAGGGGCTGGGCTCTGGAGTCATAAATATCAGAGTCTGAACCCCAGTGCCTAGCTCCTCGGCCATGGGAAGATTAATTTCCTTAAAGCTTCAATGTCTTCATCTCAAAAACCAGGCTAACAGTGCATCCCTTACAGTGCTGCTCTGAGGGCTGTGTGAAATGACACAGGTAATGCAGTTGGCAGCGTGCCTGGCACATCATAACTCATTATCATTACAATTAGTTGTTAGCGTGAATATGCATTTCTCTGGGAAGAAGATTCATAGCTTTCACTGACTTCTCAGAGGGCTGGTAACCAAAGGTTAAAAAACAGCTGTATATCCGAGACAAAACATTAGAAGTTCAGCTACCACTCAGTGACGAGCTGGCACTGCAGATTTAGTATCAGCAAATGCTTAAGTGTTTCACTGAAAGGAGGTTCATATGACTAATTACTAGTGCACTCGGCATAGCACAGTAATTTTCTTTGGCATTCTTTTAAAAATTCAATAGAAGCGTAAAATTGATATGCAATTTGTGACTCAGTGTACCTTTAAAAGCATATCATTGTCCTACAGTCAATTTTTTAGATGTATCAAAACTATTAATAGCATAAGAAAGTGTGAATATTTTTAAAAAACACAAAAATTTGTACATAGCCTGATTTCAACCATATAAAATATAAAATGCATAGAAAACAGGGCAGTAAGCACTCATTTCATAATATTAACAGAGGCTGTCACGGAGAGGAACGCTGTAAGAGAGCTTTATTCTTTTTATATTTTATAAATTTTAAAAATGATTCCAGACCAGTTTTATCGTAAGAGAAGAGGAAACAGAAGAACACAGGCCCGCGCCCCCAAATCATTTACCGGTGCTGATTTAGTAGTGCTTTTTCTAGTGCCTAGACCTATAACTTGTTCAAGATTTATCACTAGAAGCAATAGGGATTGACTTACACACCCGAATTTCCCAGATGCTGCCTGATAGAAAGGAGGAAAACTACACACAGGAGGGGACAAGAAGCTCCCAATCTGCTGTGATATACTGATGCTTCTGCAAACTGATTATATGTACATGCAAGCCTCTCTTTAGAGTCACATATGAAAACCTTCCTTCTTTTGACACCACGGAACAGGGAACATGTATCTAAGTACGGCCCAGTGGGACCAATGGATTTATAGGGCACAATGCACAAGCCCCTTTCTGGACTTGTCTCTGGATTCCGAGATCTGTGGTAGGTTTTCAGTCTCTGAATGGCCAAAGCCTATACAAAAACTTCCAGGGCTTGGAGTTATGCAGAGTGGCCTGAGTATTGCAAGGAAATCAGGGTGCTTGTTAGTACAGAACCAAACCGTACCTTTGACCCTCTCTTGGGCACTGAGACAAGGTCCCAGTGAGGCCAACAAGAAAGCTTCATACTGGAAAGCCTGTTGAGATTAGCAAAGCCCCTGACTGGCACGGTAACAGACCGGTACTGAACCACACTGCAGAGAGCTCCCCTCTCTTCAGCAGCTCTTCCCTGCCCTTGTCTAGTCAAGAGATGGACTCTCAGAGCCAAAGCTGGTATCAATTTGCAAATGTGAAAAATATTTTAAAGGGTAGATTGCCAAGTCATTGAAGTTAATGAAGGTTTTCATTTAAAAAAAATAAAAAGGAGGTGTAAAAGTCATATTGTTAAGTGAAGGTTTAAGTGGGAAAAGAAAATCACACCCAAAAGTATTTTACTTAACTACATACCCAACATTCCCTCACATTCTCACTACCATTAAACCTATGAGGTGTGACAATCATTTCTGAAAACAATACTAATTTTCAACAAATGTCCTGTAGTTTACATTTCTAATAATCTTCATATTATAATGAAATGAAATTAGCAAAAGAGAGAAAAAGAGGAGCAATTCCACTAATTTCAATAATGCTCTCTAGACTTCTTGAAGGCTGATCTTAAAATTACTGTCACCTAGATGGGGGAGAAAAAAATTTTTTAATTCAAAATTATCAGGTACATTCACATTTGGCCAAAGAAAACAAAATATACATTTTATAAAGAGCACAGAACCCTAATTAGAAAAAAAATGGTTAAGTCAGTTATAAGGGGCTTTGAGAAGTCAAAATGACTGCCTTAGTCTATAATCTATATAACTAGATAGGACATTATGTAGTTTATCAAAAGCAAGTTTTGAGAAACAAAATATAAAACTGATTCTTCTGAATTTCTGCAAATTGTCCACAGAACAAGAGTAATTTTCAAAGGAAGATGAGCAACAAAGTAAAATTTATTTCAGAAAACAAAACTAGTACAATAC